TCCGTGGGTGAGTACTCTTCGTATTATAGTATATTGCTTTAAGGTTCAAATCTAATACGTTTCCTATTGGAAACCACTGCGCTGTCAAGTAAATTTCACTTAATTTATTTCATTGCCGTAAATGGTGTTTAATAGATAAATAGTTATTATTTTTAAGAGGGAGAGGTACAGCTATTTATAGTATAGAGTTATAATTTTAACTTAAAAGGCGACTGCCTTCTGTACATGGAAGATATAAATAAGAAAAACTATGAAAAGAGGGAAGGGGCTTTATGAACCCAATAGAACCGAAAACAATGGTTTTTAGAATTTTTGTTTATTTGTCTGTTTGTGCACGCCAATCTCGGAAACAGCTCAACCGATTTGATTTCGTTTTTCACTAATGCATTGCGCTTTTTGCTCCACTTAACATTTAGCGTTTGTTCTTTTTCAATCGGTTTATAATTAAAAAAATAATATCAATTTAAAGAGTCACATATAAAAAATGTTATAAAATAACCGATCAATTAAATTTGCTAAAACTTTCTTGTATTATATGTATTGATTTTCAAAAATTCTGTCTACTCGTGCGAAGCAGGGTCGGATTGCTAATAATTAAATATATATGACAACAATGAGCCAATTAAATCAGTGTTCTCGTGATGATGTGATAAACGACTTTGGTGGCCGGAGGAGGGGGAGGGGGTTAGTAATGCAGACTACCAGTCCCATTGCTAGCAATATACCCCGTCAGGTCGACCTCCACGTGGTTCCCACCGGAAACCATCGTGCTAATTCCAGTTGTATTCATCACAATAGGCTAACTGACCTACCTTCTCTGCCTCACTTATCATCCCTCCCTGGTGCCCCGCCAGCTTATACCGTTATCGCAGGCGGTGTTATCATTCCATTATCATTCATTAAAAAAAATGGGTACCGCTTTAAATATCTAGGTATGTATATTAAGTTTCTCTGGAAACAAGAGAAGGAAAAATTTTTTTATATTGATTATCACTCATTTCAATATCTCCTATACCATTCAAATATCTATGTTGAATTCGAACAAGGGCTTCATTCATACAGGTGATTTTTTAAATTTTAGTCTCTACTTTTTTTTATGGGTGAAAATGGCCTGCGCTAACAGGGTACGCTGCCGCGTCACCAGTCAACAGGTTAGTTAGCCCAACATGATGAATTCATCAGGAATTAACTATGATAGTTTCCAGGGGGAACCGCGAGGAGGTCGACCTGGCTGGGGTATACTGCTAGCAATAGGATTCTCAGTTTCCATTACTAACAACCCCTTTCCCCCCTGTCTTTCTACTTTTGTGTAGAAACTGCTTAACAAATTTCAATGCAGTTTTCTCTAATGCCTTACGGTTTACTCCACTTAACATTTAGTGTGTGTATAATAAAACCCAAATATGGGTGTTCATAAATCAAATAGTTATATCAATCTGTTAAAATCACATATAAAGTGGTATCCTACATTTTGCGGCAGCCATCTTGGTCCGATTTCCATCAAACATAACTAAGAACACTCCCTACTATTTCACCCTACAAACAAAAAAAAAACAAAAACAAATTCTGTTCATCCTTTCGGGAGCTACGATGTCATAAACAGAGACACAGGGAGGGGGGGGAGACTTACTGTAAGAAAATTCTGAAATTTTATATTTGGCACGCAATTAAAACAACATGGTCAAATGTTTTATTCTATAATACTAATTAATGTCTATTTCAACTGTATTTATACAAATAAATTATAATTATTTTAGGCAAATAAATATTTCATTTTATTTATAAGAACCTTCGATCTGTCAGTTCAGCACATCCTTTTTTTTTTTTAAACAAAAAAAAAATTTGTTTAGAAACAATTTTTATAAATGGACACAAATTTTAAAGAACATCAATCCCGTACTATTTATAATAAGAGAGCCATCTATTGAATTTTTTTTGTATTAAAATAGCCATCTAGTAGAAGTTTGCTAAAATTAATGCTGTACTATTGACATCGAATCACTTATACGACATACCTGATTATATATAATAATATATATCTCAAACTATTCATTTTTGTTATTGTAAATTTTCACTGTCATACTTATGATGCTAAAAACATAAAGACCTATCTAAAATACATTGAGAGCGCCATCAAAACGAATACACCACACAACGAATATGTGAAAAATAAATGGAATAAACAAAAAGCGTCGTGGGGTCTAATAAAATATAAAACTGTTAATATAAATCAATAGAATGAATTTCAACAACAACTTCTCTATTATATCATTGACCAATTCTAATTCTTCACGATAACGAGGACGGTGTATATGCGCTCCTATATTAAAAATATGTGCGAATCGGTTATCCGTCATTATCTTAAGGTATTTTTCCGCATCATCATAATAATGTTGTTTATTGTTAAGTTCGCTGCTATATAAAAACGGTGATAGACAAGATATCAATACTACACACATAATAGACACAACATAAACTCCTATAACCCTGTCGTCTCTAA